AATAATGCTTCAGGATTTCCAATGACGCATGCATTGATTGAGACAATTATTCTAATACACAATGTATTAAATACTGCATTACACAAAGAACACCATTGTACTTGGATGTACACCATGTACATCATCATGTATTACACGTCTACAGTAAAGTCCATGGCGGTTGACCAGAGATGTTCTCTGTGTACAGGGCATGCTTCCACAGCGGGATCCCAGATCAGCATATAGATATAAGTAAGTGTATCACCTATGATGGTATCAACGTGTAAGAGAATCGTGAATAGAGAAGCCCTCTTTGCTCCGTACATGTGGAGTTGCCACCTAGTCAGAAATTTTACGACACGGGCAAAACTCCAAGGCGTTCCATGCATTCATGTCAGGAACAAGAAAAGCAATATTACGTTGACATTCCGAATAACCGTTGTCTACTACATTTGCCAATGTTATGGGTATTAAGGCGGCCTACATTGGCAAAATAGATGGTGTAACTGTTTTGCGGGGCATGTTGCTATTTCAGGAGAATATAATATGAACATTTCTAAATATCTTTCAGTAAAATAATTATGTCCGTTCGAAATCTTCCAAGGATTGTCGATTTCACTGATGTTCAAAGGACTTTTTAAATTCTCATAATACATCAGGCATGGATGGACTAATTGCTGGCTCGGAAGAACGTTTGAATAAGAACCCCAAAGTGTTAAGCTTATTCACATTGAGAGCAGCCATGGAGTCGTGTGTATGTATTTCGATATTTATCGTTTGTTTTCAGACTTTCTATGACATGAATGGATTGAATATGCTACTTGGTTATCATTCAAGTGAGACATAGTACCCTATACACATCACCCGACATCATGTTTTGAAAAGCTTTCAGCACACTTTCTTCAGAAAGACGTAATCGGTCGATAAGAAATTCTCTTTGGAAAACCTCTAGCCCCATGATCATGTGAAGTACTTTGGGGAGCTATTTGCTTGTGAGCTGACACTTTAATGTTAACTTAGCATACATCAGACTTTGTCGGGATTAGGCACATTCTCTTTCACATTGGATATTTTTAGCAGTTCTTATAAAACACAACGTTACTTGAGATTGCAGGTCTACGCTCACTGTACATGAGACAAAGGGGTGTACTCGATGTAACCATGGTGCTCTACTTATCTTGTGGGTAGGATTGTTACAAGTTCTCAACAAGCAACAACATGACTAACGATGACCAGTCAGTAAAGTATAATGTTTGTTGTCTATAGTTCATTACTGTGCAATATGAAATAGAAACACAGAACGAATTGAAAATTCAGGACTGCACAATTGTGAAATCAGCTACCTGAATCTGTAAATTGGCATGAACCCTATGCTTCATATATCCAGATGTTGCCCCCCAGAAAGAAGTACAATACAAGCAGCGCAATGTAAGCAAACCTGGCTGAAGTAATTTGTCTTACCAGGGAAACAGTATCAATCACAAGTAGTATTTCTCCACTGACAGAAGAGTGCTTACCTTGATTGGATTGTATTGCGTACAGTACCAGTCATATATTGTCTCCATCCATCATAATCCTATGCGTAAGCGCAATGACGAGAGACACATCTCTGTGGCTCTGCCAGCGTATTGATCACAAGTCAGCGCCAGTTTCTAACCTTGCCAGCCAAGCCCTACCACACGCAGGACTGCCGACAGCAGCCAATTTTCCCCATGCTTTTAGAGGTAGGCTGAGAGTTAAGCTTCCGAAACCACGGATCGACACGTTAAGAAGAAGCAATGTTCAATTACTACTTGAGTTAAGCTGCGTGATTTGCCTCATCGCTACAGAGAAGGGCTGTATCTGTCTTGCGGACATGTTGATGACTGAAGCAATGGAACTCGAGTTAAGATGGCACTGTCCCATAATTCTATTGTAATCAATTACTGGTGTTTACAAAAACGTCACTGGCTGTGGCTTTGAGCATCTTAGTGTCCGTTGTTTCCCTGAAACATTTAGTACTTTGACCATCCCGGTGATAATCTGCGTGGTACTGAAACTTTGACATACGAACACACGTGACGTAGGGGTTAAAACACGAGTATATGTATAGAGAGAACAGACGGATTAAACAAGGCTATACATTTACACATGAAGTAGGGTTTGGACAAGGAGCTACGTCTGCAAATGACGAAATTTTGAAACAAAGATATACGTAAACAAATCACAAATATACAAAGAGTATACGTTAACACAGGACGTAGGGATGAAACAATGATATAATTATACAGACTACGTAGGATTGAGGACGCAGCGTTTAAAAATTGATATACGTATACAGACTACGTCGGGTTGAAACAAGGGCAGAGGACGTAGGATTGAAAAAAGATATACGTCTACGTCGGGTTTAAACATTGATATACGTATACAGACTACGTCGGGTTGAAACAAGGGCAGAGGACGTAGGATTGAAAAAAGATATACGTCTACGTCGGGTTTAAACATTTATATACGTATACAGATTACGTCGGGTTGAAACAAGGATACAGTATACAGTGAGTGAGTGAGTTTAGCTGTACGCCGCACTCAGCAATATTCCAGCCATATGGTGGCGGTCTGTAAACAGTCGAGTCTGGACCAGACAATACAGTGATCAACAACATGAGCATCGTTCTAAACAAGCGAGATACAATGACATGTGTCAACCAAGTCAGCGAGCCCGACCACCCGATCCCATTCGTCGCCTCTTATGACAACTGACAAGCATGCGTTATTGAAGTAACAACAATAACCGTTGTGTTATTGTAATTCCTGATTAGCTGAACTGGCAATAAACGTAAACATTTAAGCCACGACTTCCAGCGTTCACTTCTTTTTCCACTACGTACTGCAGAGAGGAAATGAAAGAACATCGATAGATGCGGGACCTGAAGACTCGGTCACCTGGGTTACAAAAACTTCATGTCTTCAGGGTTCATTTCCAACCGTCTATCCGTTCTCAAGGAACCAATGTTTCAATCTGTTAGTTATTAACCATGCTATTTGAAACAGCCGCCCTCTCTTCGACATAATACAGCCTTGATGCTGCTATGAAGTTTACCGTGAAGCTACCCTTTGTTTGATTGGGCATGTTACGTTATGTGCATAAATCAATAATTGATTCACGTCACGTAACACTGTGTATTCCTTCGCCCGGAATGTTTTACCCGTAATCAATCTCGTCAATTTTGTCTGCTTTCATTAATATCATTGTTTGTAGTTTAACATGACTTACATAACTCTATTTTGGACGGCATGGCTATGGTCTGTTGTTAATCGTCACGTAACGCTGAAGCCCATTTCTGTGTCCCCCGCCGTGATAATATTGATAGAATATTGCTAAAAGCGGCGTAAAACCAAACTCACTCACTCACGTAACGCTGGCTATCGAGAGTTCGAATAGAATTGTGAACTTATTGCATACATAGTGTATTGTACCTATCCAACCACACATGCAACAGCTGTCTAAGCAAATAACGTTACAAACATTACGTGTTATTTGCCAATGAGTGAGTATGGAAATAGGGTCCCACAATTCAATTATGGTAGGAACGTAGATACCGATGTTTTTATCAGTGTGTATTTGGACCAACACACAGCATATTAATGTTTTATCTATAATGGCATCGAGTAAAGCACCTGAACAATCACAGGATGTTGTCACCAGTATCATAAATTAATACAAATTCCCACTCAGTGCGAAATTATCATGCCGAGGTTAGGAACGAAACCATCTATGTTCTTCAAAAGAATACTTTGATTCAGATTTGAAATGCATAAATATGCATGGGTCATGTTGGATATAATTCGGCTTGCCTTTACCAAATCATCAAAAATCATATTCTGTATCTAACAAAAATCTCTTTTGACATTGTGCATGACATATGCGACAGGGCAGTTTATTTTCTCACGCGTTTTGATGACAAGTACACCATGTACCTTCTCCTCTTTCATAGCTAAAACTCGTGAGTTCTTGTTTGAAGTCCCTTTGTAATACAGTACATGATGTAAAGGAATACTGTGTATTTCAGTCACGGACCAGCTGACATTTAAGGTGAACAGCTGCATATCGAGTGGTCATCTGTTGGGTCATCTGTGTGGGTGGGATGTCAGTCCCCATCAAGATAGCAACAGCTCATCAATGACATATTTACAATCAAACCACACATTCAAATTCGAAAGACAAAATCAACAAATATGATCAAACTCTTTAAATGAAATAAAACTTCGGCAAAATAATATCTGAGTCAATCCGTAAACTATAGATTCAACTGCTCACCATTATATGAGAGTCCACTGAAACATAACTGTTGTTTGTCTGGGCTGGACGCATGCCGATAGGTCTACAGTGGGCTGTAAACGTGTCGGCATGTTATTACAGACAACGGCCGTAAACATGATATATCTGTAGTGATCTGGTGCTCTACAGTGAGTACTGGAAACAGAAGATTGCTTTGAGCAGATAGCATTGCCCCCGAGTTTCTTCTCGACATCTACGGAGTGGCTAACGTAATACGTATGAAGGTGTGAGGGTTATACGTATTTTACAGGATGTAAACACACATTGCCGGTACGTAACAAAATGGCATTCTTCTATATCCAGTTTCAACATTATCAAAGCATATAACAACAGACTATACCTGTGATTCCACTCCAACTGACTCGCTTTGTATGACATTGACTCAAAGATGAGTAGGGTTTCAAAAGTGCGGGGGAGTTTTGCTTATCGATCCTTTGAACCATGATCAAGCCAAGAAGGGAAGGACATAATTAATGCTTGGGAGCAGTATTTATGTTCTCCTGAAGTGTTTACTAGAGGATAATATGTTATTTAATTATCCATGTTATACATGATGTGTTTATTCTCATTGCATATCTCCATCATTTATGATCGATCGTGAATAAACAGCCATCTGTAAAAAGTATTGCCTACTTATTTATGATGGAGATCTTTCACCTCTGCAACTTGGTACATCAGAGAATCTAAGCTACAAGACACAAACATGCCAGTCGTTGGATGCCCTATTCCGTCATGTGGCTTTGTGACAGAAGACCTGGATTTTGTGGTGCATGCAACAGTCCACACTACAGGACCTGCCATCTCTGCAAAAGTAGAAAAAGTGAAACGACCAAGCATATCCTCTGCTGGAACAAGCGAAGATTGGTCATACTTTAAATCCAGGTGGAAAGACTATGTCCAAACGACCATGGTCACAGGGAAGGACCGCGTTGTACAGCTTCATGAATGCTGTTACGAGACACTGCGCAGAGATTTCACACGTTCGGCTGTCCTGAAGGCCATTAGACTCCTTGCTGTCAGAGAGGAGAACACCATGGTAGCTCGCGTTACCCTCCACAGCATGACTCAGGATCGAGATGAAACTGTTCGTTCCTTCGGTGCAAGGCTAAGAGGTCAGGCTGGCGTCTGCAAATTCACCATTGCATGTCCAGGATGCCATCGGGAGGTGAATTACACTGAGACGATCCTTCGCGATGTACTCACCCTTGGACTAATTGACCCTGAAATCCAGTTAGATCTCCTTGGAGACAAGAACCAAGACACGAATCTCGAACAGGTGTTTCAATTTGTGGAAGCCAAGGAATCAGGCACACGCTCGGCATCTCGACTTCTAGACTCGCAGTCTGTTGAAGCTGTTAGCAGTGGCTACCGAAGAAGCAAGAACACAGCTGTTAATGCATCCAAGAAACTGGATACGTCCGAGTCATACTTCTACTGTGGAAGAAAGGGGCATGGAAAAAGTGCATCCCTGAAAATCAGGAAAAAGCATTGTCCCGCTTTCGGTCGCATGTGTTCATCCTGTACCCGCTACAATCACTTTGAAACTGAGAGCTGAGAAGCCTTCAAGGACGGTTGAGGAAGACGAAAGCGCGGTCTTTGACATGCTGTGCTCAGTCACTAACATCAGCTGGCCCTGATGAAAGAAGACACTTGATCACCACCTGTATGATCAGCTGACGGACACCTGGACTAAACAAGCCTCCCGGCCCCATCCCTTCCTCAACCTATCGATGGCTGTCCATGCAGAAGACTATGACAGACTAGGATTCGGCTCAATGTTATCCTCAAGACCAAGAAGAGCCTCTGTTGTCGTCATGGCAGACACAGGTTGTCAGAGTTACCTTGCTGGTATTAAGGTCGCACACAAACTTGGACTGAAAACACAGAATCTCATTCCAGTGACTCTCAAGATGCGTGCTGCCAATAGCAGGGGTATCCATATCCTTGGTGCCCTCATCACACGGCTGTCTGGCAGGAGCCTAGCAGGGACAACAATTGAAACCAGACAGGTGGTCTATATCACAGACAACTCTGACAAGTTCTTCCTCAGTCGTGAGGCGTGTATCTCACTGGGGATGATCACAGGACATTTTCCCACAATTGGGGAAGTGCCCAGAAATGACAGCTTCAATGATGATTCTACACTAAACGAATCTTCAGGGATAAATGATCTGAAATGTGACTGCCCAAAGCGTGGACCACCTCCTAAAGTGCCAACCAAACTAGAGCACCAGCCGCTCCCACTCATGGATGGACCTCCCATGAAACTGATGGTCGATCTGGACGTTCAGCCTGTTGCTCACCACACTCCTGTCCCTGTCCCACTTCACTGGCAGAAAGACGTCAAAGCCGGACTGGACCAGGATGTCAGACTGGGTGTGCATGAGCCAGTCCCAAATGGAGAACCGGTTACATGGTGCCACAGAATGGTCGTCGCGACGCACTGTTGACTTTCAGGCTCTCAATGCCCATGCCATTAGAGAGACACATCACACACAATCCCCCTTCCACTAAGCCAGATCAGTGCCACAGAATACGAAAAAAACTGTCTTCGATGCATGGAATGGCTACCACAGTGTCCCCATTCGAGATGAGGACAAACACCTTACCACATTTATCACCCCATGGGTCCGATATAGATGTCGCACTGCTCCACAAGGATGTATCGCCTTTGGAGATGGATACACAAGACGCTTTGACGAGATTGTGTCTGATGTGCCAAACAAAACCAAGTGTGTGGATGACGCACTCCTGTGGGCTGATGACATTGAGAAATCCTTCTTCCAGGCATGTAATCAGCTTGACATCTGTGGAAGGAATGGCATTACTTTAAACCCTGAAAAGTTCACTTTTGCACAAGACACCGTGGAGTTTGCAGGCTTTGAGATTACTCGTACCAGTGTTCGACCTTGCTTGAAGTACCTACAAGCCATCATGGACTTTCCTACACCGAAGAACATAACGGACATGCGTTCTTGGTTTGGACTCGTCAATCAAGTGTTATACGCATTCAGCATGGCTGAGAGGATGCAGTCTTTTCGCCAACTCCTAAAGCCTGGGACACCATTTCGTTGGGATGACAATCTGGACCGCTTGTTTCAAGAATCCAAGACCATCATTGTCAAGGAGATTGAGAAAGGTGACGCATCTTTGACGCAAACAAACCAACCTGTCTTGCAACAGACTGGTCGAAACCAGTTGACCACAAACCTCTACTGAAGATCTTTGGGTATCGATCACTTGAATGCATCTCGAATGCTCGACTACGTCATCTGAAGGACAAGACCCTGCGGTACAAATTCCACATGGTTCACATCCCTGGAGCCAAACACAGAGTTGCTGATGCTGTATCTAATCACCCAACTGGTAACCCTGAGAGGATAGTTCTAGTGGATGATATTGCAGCCATGGACTGTACTGAACTTTCCCCTTCTCTGGATGTTTGTCATAACATCCTCGCCTCCATCAGATGCAGTGAAGAGCCTGACCACAGTGTAGAGGATGTCACTCTCCAATCTGCTGCGTCTGCAATCAGCTCCTTGGAACCTATCACGTGGAACAAGGTGAAAGTTGCAACCACTAGCGATGTATCCATGGCCAAACTCGTTGACCTTATTGAAACTGGGATGCCAGAATCCCGCCTTGAACTTCCTACTGCACTACGTGAATACCATCAGTTCAGAGAGATCTCCACACGGTAGACGGAGTTGTGCTATACAAGGACCGGATTGTGATCCCACCAGCACTACGTGAAAATGCCCTTACTGCCCTCCATTCTGCACACCAAAGCGTCTCATCAATGATGTCCAGAGCTGAAGCATCCATCTTCTGGCCCGGACTCACACTGGCCGTCACAACCCTCGGAACCAACTGTGCTCACTGCAGTTGGATGGCTCCATCACAACCATCAGCCCCACCAACACAACTAGTATACCCATCCTACCCCTTCCAATGTCTATGCGCTGACTTCTTTCATTGCAAGGGTGTCAACTACCTGGTGCTGGTCGACAGATACTCCAACTGGCCGATAGTAGAGAGAACTGCCTGAGGTGCACCTGGACTCATCAACTGCTTACGACGCACATTTGTCACATTTGGCATACCTGATGAACTTTCCTCTGATGAGGGACCCGAATTCACAGCCTCTGCAACCAGAGAGTTCCTTCACACATGGTCAGTACATCATCACCTATCTTCTGTCGCCTTCCCCCACAGCAACTGCAGAGCAGAAAGTGGCGTGAAGACAGTCAAACGCATGATCACTGACAACACTGGACCCCGGGGTGAACTTGACACGGATGCTTTTCAGCGGGCAATGCTTCATCCCCCCCCTAAAGGACTTCATCCCCAGCCTACCCGGCCGGTACAAACCTCATGAGACATGAAGCGATACACTATTATTGAGGGAGGAGGCACTCAGAAACCGACATATGAAGATGGCAGAACGTCTCACTCAGCACACCAAACAGCTCCCACCTCTCGCAGTTGGTGACTTTGTCAGAATGCAGAACCAGACAGGGCCTCACCCGCTCAAATGTGTGGTCGAAGTTCGTCAATTCGACCAGCATGTTGTACGGGTAGACGGATCAGGTAGAGTTATGTATTTTTTCATAAAGTTTTTAAAGGCCACAGGCCTAATAAACATACAATTTATAGAACACATAATGAATGCAGACTAACATGATATATATCACACACATTTAAATGACATTCTGTGCTTTAACGCAAAAAGTATAAACTTTGATAATTGACATAGGGTATATTTACATTGCGTTGACATAAGATTCATAAATTTAAAACATGTTGGATTTTTATAATAATAACTATCTAAATATTCAATCATCAATGGTGAATAAGCATTACAAATCATTACAAAGTGATATTCATTTTCTATGTGGATTAATCCTGATTTTGCATAGTAGAAACACGTTCTTTCCTCTTCGTCTTCATTATGATGTCTTCCTGTTTCTATTCTAAGTTGGTGACAGCTACAGCGAAATCTGATGTGAGTTTCTAAAAAGTGTTTATCATTTATACAGTTGAAGGAGGGTTCCATTGTTAAAGGTGTTTTGAAAGCAAAATATGTTCTTAATGTGGGTTTCTTGAGAACGTTATTATGCCATCATGTAGAGTGACCCTACGCAATCGGAAGTTTCTGAGGAAGTACAACCCTGCTTTCCAACCTCCATCCAGACGCTCAATCGCTGATGACTTGCCAAGGCCACAAACATCTACCCTTGACAATACCACCACATCCGGCTCAGTCAACATCAGAACACTTGACCACACCTACAACAGTCTCTACTGGTGACGAACAACGCACTCCGCATCAACAGCCACTGCCATCCAGGCCAGCTGCTACACCTGATGTCTCACAATCCCCACCACCCTCACCTGACAGATCCCCACCACCCTCACCTGACAGATCCCCACCACCCTCACCTGACAGATCCCCACCACCCTCACCTGACAGATCCCCACCACCCTCACCTGACAGATCCCCACCACCCTCACCTGACAGATCCCCACCACCCTCACCTGACAGATCCCCACCACCCTCACCTGACAGATCCCCACCACCCCTCACCTGATAGATCCCCACCATCACCTGACACCACCACCCCACCCCCACCACCCTCACCTGACAGATCCCCACCACCCTCACCTGATAGATCCCGTCCACTCTGTCCTGTGATCAGAGAACCCACTGTCCTGACAGAGTCACCAAGCATCGATCCTGCACCGACCCTAACAGTAGACACAAGTGTGATCCACCCACGACGTTCTACCCGCACCAAAAAAAAGCCGAACTGGCTGTCTGATTACGTGCATGTGATTGAGTCAGAATAATCCCTGGGCCAAAAGGACAGTCTACCCAGTGAAAGCCCTGAATGTTTTATTGCCAGTTTCTCTCTTTATTTCAGTTTGTTCCAAACGTTTAGTCTATTCCCAATCACTTGAGGACAATTCAAGACATTATGCTTCATTTAACTCAAACCTGAGTTCTAGTCAGAACTGTTTCTTTCAGTCCTTGCCACAACTTTGTCAAGATCCGACAATGACTTGGGGAGGGATAGAGGATTATATGTTATTTAACTATCCATGTTAAACATGATGTGTTTATTCTCATTGCAGATCTCCATCATTTATGATCGATCGTGAATAAACAGTCATCTGTAAAAAGTATTGCCTACTTATTTATTTACTACATCGCCTTCCTCATGAAAGTAGCACCTCGGACAGGCATCTTACACATGCACATTAGAATGTATCGGATGTGGTCACATAGCACACACAGTTGGCCACTTTAATCATTAGTGATACTAATGTCCCAATTGTAAATTCACCGCAGTCATAGAGATTATTTGTGTTTTACAACTGATTCTCCAGAATACTATAGCTATATCTTCATTATGTGTGGAAAATGTTCAAGCTTTACTGATCATCTAAGTTAACTTGACTTGTTGTTGCCAGTGCAAGTGAAGTCGTTCATTCTTGGCGAGTTTTCATTGAGTCGCCCTCCATATTGTACCTGTTTCTACTGGCTAATGGGTT